TTATCCCGTTTTTCCCTCAAATGTCGAGGTCTTCATAATCCAGTCTACCACCAGAACAGAAAAGGTTGATTAAACAGGCTTGTCTAATTCCACTCCTTATTTGGAATACATCAGTTAGCTGTTTTCCATGCACGATCATGCACTGTAGTCGGTCGTATGATTTCCGGATAATGTTGACAATCTTCTCAGGAACTTCGTAATGTCGAAGAAGTTACCATAATGTTTTACAGTCCACACTGTCAAACGCCTTCTCATAGTCAATGAAGGTGATGTTTAGTGACGAGTTCCACTCAACTGACTGTTCAACGACGATCCGTAGTGTCGCCCTTTGGTCTGTGTACCACCGATCCTTACGGAATCCAGCCTGTTGATCTCGAATTTGGGCGTCTACTGAGTCTTTCATCTGATTCAGAAACACTGTTGAAAACGTTTGATGGTACTGACAGTATTGTGATTCCTCTGTATTTCTCACATTCGTTCAGATCGCCTTTCTTTGGTATTTTGATGAGGCATCCTTCTTTCCAGTTCACCGACACTTGTTCCTCTTCCCAAGTCTTTTTGAATAGAAAGTGAAGCATGTTTGCAGTTATTTCAATGTCTAACTCCAGTGCTTCACCTGGTATATTGTCAGGTCCTACCGCTTTGTCTGATGGTCATCTTGACTTCGTCGACTGTTGGTGCAGTGACGGATATAGATAGGTCTGTATGTGCTGCGGAATTATAGTAAGCGCATCAAAAACAATTAGATAACTCATGACCAATGCAGAAGTGTCTTTCACAAATGGAGAGTTCAGTCATAACATCATTTGCATTTCCCAGGCATTTTCCTTGGCCTTATGCAAAAAGTACCATTTCATATCTAACAATTCCGTCATGAATTTAACGTTCGGTAGATTACTTTCCATTTTTAGTTCCATATGATCTTATAGTTTAAGGTGGTTTTTCCTCACCTTTCTATTTGGTCTTTATAGTTTTCCACGTTAAGTCTAAATTTAGTACATCCCGACTTTTTGTACCGATCGTCTTATCTGTTTTACCGTCTTAGGTTGCATTGTTTTTCGTTTTACGGTCGTAACCTATCTGACAACTCACATTTCACTACCTATATCGAGAACTCATGTAAGCAACCTGGGTGCCGTTTTGCTATCACCTTTGATAAGCTGTGGGACAAATGCAAAGGTTGGTTTCACGAAGCATGCACTGATCTTACAGAAAATGCCAGCTTGGAGCTTAATAAGTCAGACTGCTCTTGGGTATTTGGCACGTAGAACGCGAATGCCTATAGTTTTCTGAACAACAACCTCGTGACAGGTCTACGAGGAAAGCCACCAGGAATCCTGAATAAAGGCAGTCCTGAAACAGATACACAAACAAAGACGGACAGTGAAGTAAAGAAGAAGGTCTTCGACACCATTAGTTTTGACAGAATGACCACTAGCAATAGTGGGGTTAAAACTAAAATCAACACCATCATAACACCGTCGGTGTTTGAATCTCAGGCACCTTCTGTCTCCCAGCATAGACTCTACGAATGCAACTGTGGTCTACAAAAATTCTTTAGGTAACTAGATCCCCGTCAGTAGGGTTAAAAAGGATCAAATATCACCAACAATAATACTGAACAAACCAGGTCTTGTAGTATACTCAGTTAGTAAATCGGCAATCTAGTCTACCCCTCAAGAATGCCCGACTAGTCAACAAAAGGATCTGAAGTCCCAAACACAGTTTAACTGCTAGAGAAAACCGACTCACACCTCTTCGTACACGAAATCTGAGAAAATTATCATGGTCCACGATAATTCGCCCAGAATCGTGAAATTTCAAGAGAACTCTGAAATACCTCCCAGTCTATCGGACAGCAACGTCATGTTACCTTGAGATAAATTAAACAGGAACTTCAGGTTTCTCAAAAATGAGCCGCTATCAGTTACATGGCTTACCAGGGAGGACTAGGCTAAACACGGAAATCATTTCGAACCCCTTCGTGTAACCCTCACTCACACCACTAATTTAGATGCCGTTCTGTTGACCAGTCGCTTACTAAAATCAGAAGTGGATGTGAGTAAACGGCCCTTTCGACCATATTTCCAGTTTAATATCATCAGGAACATCTCGAAGGGGTCGTGTGAGACGTTCTTCTGCGAAGGAAACAACATTATGCAAAGCGTTCCACAGAAAACGGATTCTGATCATGTACACTTTGATATTTTGGAATGGATGATCATAAAACAGTCACTAATGCTTAAAAACATATTAACGAACTAGTGGTGCAATTATTTGGTAAGGACGGGGATTCTAGACCGTGGCAAGTATATTGAGTGTGGCATCTATATGGGTAGTAAAGTGTCACTGAGCCCTAGCACATTCATCAGGCAGTTGGGTCACTAAATATCGAACAGATCTTTGATCCCTGTCAAAGTCAGGGATAACAAACGCGAACCAGTTGATCAAACGCCATGGACTGGGCCATGCGGTGATGGCCTTACAAAATTATCTGGACATAATTCATATCAATATATTTACGTGTTACCTTTCTATGTGTTATAAGGTCTTCAAAGCAGCCATACCTCGAAGAGGTAATTCACGTTAGGTGCTGACTGCGAAGTGTGACTTAGAAGTAAGCAGGTTCGTCACACCATTTCCATCTAACTTGAGCAAACCTCCAATCATCCGACATGGATAATCTACATTGGTGATCTACACCGTCACCCTTATAATGCATGTTTACAAACCAAGAATTATAAATTGGCAACCGATCGATCCTGACTCTTCTGGGAAAGGGATCACGCTGTCAAGGCCTTTAATTTCATCAGCAAACTGAGTTAAAACTTCCCACTAACAACAAGAGTTGAAATTTCAAACAATTGGTTTCATCAGCTTTACAGGTTAGTTTACAGCAGGTGGATTGGAAAATCCACCCTCAGCTTGATGTCAACGCTCGTTGGATTTCATTACTGCGAATTTTAAGTTGCGTATTTAAGTGCGTATTCATCGATATCAACAGCTAATTTTATGAATTTTCATTGTATTTCTTTTAAATCATCAATACCCTTTTCTAAAGTTTAGCGGTAGGTTTGTTGAGTGGTTTGTCCGCATATAGTTTCTTCACTAGGAATCAAATACCTTATGTTTTTAGATTGATAATGAAAGTTGTGCTCACTTCTTAAAATTGTGGTGTTTCTACCTTCATTAAGCAGTAGCATTGCCAACATTTTTTAGACTGGTAGAATGACACGTTATTAGAAAAATTATGCAAAAGATGCCTAATGTTTTTAAATAAAAGATCTTCAGCGTTCGGTTACTTTTATCTTCAAGCTTGATTGACTTATAAGACTTGTGTATTGGAACGGTTCTGGCAGTTTAAGTGCTAATCAAGCACTCACTTATTAGCGAGTACTGGAAAAATATTGAGGAAATACCCGAACATCACCAAAGTTGCAGGAAAGTTTTGAGTTTTGTCAATAAATATGGACAGGTTTCTCCCGAATTGTTACAAAATTCTGAAGGAATATTGTGTAAATTCCCGAAATTGTGGGGAATAATTCGGGAAATCCCCGGATTTTGGGAATTTCCCCAAAATAGGGTGATTGGGGTACAAAGCGTCTTTGTGCCTCTACTTGTCAGCCAGATGTACAACAGCATGATCAGTATGCTGAGTACTAGGTGAACCCGTTAAAAAGTCAGCCAAGCTTTCTTTGTAAGCCTGTCAATGGAATTCTACTCTTATTCATCATGTATAACAATCTACTCACTCAATACGAATGAATTTAGGGTGATATTATAAATTGTGTACGAACCAATTGGATATAAGATATTAGGTTTCAGATTTTGGTGCCAAATCCATTTGGCCAGATGGCGTTTAAACATTTTAGCTGATATCAGTTCGTGATGAAAACCCTAAATCTAATTTTAAACCCTAATTATCAACTGTAAATTGTAGTTCTAATTCCTCGCATTTGTTTCACAATCCTCATTTAGTCTTATTAACTGGGCATGCTCAAAGTCACCTTAGTGTCGCTCAAAGTTCGCCCATAAATCATAGCTTCTCCGAATTTAGTTTCCTTAACCTCTTGGTCATGGCTTATTGTCTTTAGACAAATAATAGGGTTTTCAGATCATCTGTACTTGTTCCTACAAAATTTAACATCTTTCTAGGTTTATTAATTCTTTACAAGATGAGTAGCCACATTTCCTAAGATTCCACTAATGGCGTGAAACTGATGTATAACTAAGCAACATATGTAAATAGTTTGTTGGGTCTTTCCTCGTCTTTAAAATAATTTTCGTTACGTAAACAACTGATTTGTTCTGATCCGGTGGCGCTTAAAAAATAACTTCCCGTTACATGTTTGGAGTCCGCCCAATATGATTTTAGGTGTTCCCTATAACGTTTGTAACATCCTAGTAACACAACTTAACTCTGCTAATTGTTCGCAATGAATAAACATATTCCGTTGAGATATAGATAATAATAATGTCAATGTCAGCATTAAGGCTGAAAGGAGTTACTTATTGTCAAAAACTAAATTCTTGAAAGTTCGCACAACTTTGAATCCAGTATTGTCATTTCTTGCAAGAGCTGATTATGTCAATTACACACAAAGTTGTAAGTATTCCAATTGTATCTTTTCACTTACATATCAAGTGCTGTTCAACTATATTACTCCGATAAATTTCTGATCCTCCCAAGTTTGGTCATGTTTTTTGCATTTCTGAACTGGCGCTTTCTAGTACCTTTGTTCTGGCCTAGTTACTGACCTCTATTAATACTTAGTGGCACCTTCGATCACTTGGTGTTGAATTTAACATGCTATCCGTAGCCTGTTCATTTTTTTTCGTTGTCATAGTTTGTGTACATGTATTTCAAGGCTTGACAGTGGTAGCAGTTGCATTTTAATCAAAAACCCCTATTAAATATTCTAAATTTCTATTTCAGATTTTGAGTTGTCAGTCTTCTATCACCTGCTGGTACTCTTGAAGGGCAACCAATCTCCACCACAATGCCTAGCATACTTTATTGTGTTTTCTGGTTTTACTTCCTTGCGATCACCTGGTTCTTCTGGAGTTCGGTAGTGTCGGCATGTTTCAAAATCCAGATTATCCAACACTTGTATATTTCTATGTTGGATAGACTGTTTTCCGTACGTTAAAATTCTTTCGCTGATGTATACACATAGTACGCCTCCTCGGCTGTCACAGTAAACGAGAATCTTAAGAGAATAAGAAGTGTTGACAGTTTTGAAAACCTTGATACATATGGTTGGTTGCTCCACTTCAGTGACCTCTTGCTTCAGATGATGATTTGATTGAAAGAGACATTCAACTAACTGAAGGAGGTGTAAAGGTTAAAATGCATCTTGTTCCAGATCAAAAAGGATTCAGATTGCACTACCCAATATACTTAGTTAAATGTGGAATAGAGGTTTGTGGCCTTGTGCAAATTACTGTTTTAGGCCATCATAGAAGATTCTGTTACCAAGAGATTCACAGCTGCGGAGTTAAGAGTATGGAATTTCTTGAGCCGCAACCAGAGTTATGTATATGCCAAGTAGGTGTGTAATTTTTACCGTTCACTTCATAGGAAAGATAACCATACCACCCTAATGATGCTATGGCTTGTGGGCCTTATTGTTCGTTATGTAATATTCTTGCCATGCAGGTAAGCTTTATAGTTATCATTAATTCCTCAGACTTGTTGTTTTCTTTTCTTCAGTGTTCTTCACATGGATTATAGGTGCTGTGGCTCGAAAGCTTCCTCCTTCACGGTACTTTCATTTTGTTACACTCATTTATCAAGGTTTAAAAATTGGTTATCCACCGAAGGAATTCAGGCAGCCGTACGGCTTAATTTGTGTTCATTCTCGGCAGTTATTCGTTTCCACAACAGGTTTGTCTATTTAACCAGCTATCACAGTTTACCATGTATTTTTTTGAAGAACACTGCGAAGTTTATTACCAGACACTCGTAATCATCTTTTAAAAAATTATGGAAGATTTCGCGTATTTGAGGCATACGACCATTTCTTAATAACTTCTTTTAATAAGTTATAGATGCTTTTTCGTATCTGGTATGATGATTACGGGATCGACTCAAATAAACTTCGGAAAACCCCTTTAAGATGCGGCACAAACAGATATGGCTTGTCATGTTCATCAACTAAATTATTAGATGATGAAATGCCATCAAACTAAGCACATAATTTTATTATGGGCTCCGAACCACATTTCCTATGCATGAGTTGGATGTTCTGTTCAGTTTCCGAAGTCACAGTGGATTCACTTGTTCTCAATCCCAGTTTCTCCATTAAAATCAGGAGTCTAAAACACGCGAGAATCTAGTTGGTGTGTGCGGAAGGTTCTCGAGTGCTGTTAGAGATGGTAAATCAGTTGATGAGGTTGTGAACCTTCATCAACCGAGATGGTTGGGCCACGCGTTACGTATGCCTGAACACCGATTACCACGACGCGCAATGATGAATACTATTGGGGATGGTTAGAAGAAAGTTAGGGGCGACCAAACCAAAACGTGGCATCAAAGCTTGAAGTCACTAACTTCTAGTCTGAGCCATGTTGGTAGATGCAGACTACCTGGTTGGGGTCTGCGTGACTATCGTAACCAATGGTTGGAGACTCTGGGTGACATGGCTCAGAATCGATCACAATGGCGTAGGTGTATACACTCTTTATCTTCCCTTAAACCTTGAGATTAAAATTGCTCCATAACTTTTTTTCCTTCCTATACTATATCCTCATGCACTACCTTTCTTTTATATATTACCACCATTAAATTAACTACTATGAAATCGGTGTTCATCTTGTTGTGCTAACGAGGTATGGCAACTTGGACCGATGCATATATGTTCCTGGTCCTACGTTGTAGCTGACTGATGGAAGGTTCACGTAAAGAAGTTAACAAATCCTGCTTTCGAGCCAGCGGTGCACATGACGCCCAAAACATTGGAACAGTAGATGATGTTTGGGCTAAACTAAACGTTTGTTCAGTCATCAAGACTTTGTAAGTAGCTTTCTAAAAGCCATCTACTTCAGTTTCTGTGCTTGGCCATTATTGCAGCCTTTCTATAAATCATGGTTTATGACGTTTTTGTAACTAATTTTACAAGTACATGATCATGAACCCTGTTTTTACGAACCAGATTAATTTTTATCGTTATACCATCTCTGCATTGCTTGACAAAAACACTAAGCTAACAAATATTTTTGATAATTTTTGATAAGGTTTAACAATTATAACTTAACCATATAACTTAACCATACTTAACCATATCATCTGAACTGCCGTTGGTTAGAGTACAGGTATTTGAAACAAAGTTTGATAACAAACAATACTAAGTGAATTTAAAGTTTGATAACGCCTATTATAACAGTAACTAAAAATCATACGATTGTTTTCATATCCTAAAAAAACTTTGCTTCTAAGTTTGTTCATAGTAAATTATTATACCCAATTATTTTGTGCTGCTAAAAACTAACCGTATTTATGCTCTTTACCTTTTGTGTAGAGAAAACCGCCCTAAGGCGAATACAATTTGTGTCGCCAACCATACGACACCGTTTGATTGGTGTGTTTTGGCCTCAGATGTTACCTACGCTGTTGTAAGACTTTTCTATAGTTTATTCTCTAATTTTATTTCACCATTTGAAGTTTTTTCGCCTTGTATGTTGCACAATAGTGGACTGTGTCTAAGTATGAGAAATACTTGAGTTGTAGGCATTGATCATTGAGTTCCCAAAGTATTGCCTCTTCGAGTTATATTAATTCTTGGTGTAGAGTACTTGGTGAAAGGGCTAATGAGTTGTCAGCCTTTATCAATTAAAGTGGTTGGGACTACGTTTAATCATCCACCTTCTCCGGAATATTGTGTTAGCTTACATAAGAATATGCTTTAATAGTCTAATATTAGTCAAATCAACACATGGAATCAACCTAGTCATTGACTGTTGATGTAAACCTTGTAGAAAGGTAGAGTTTTTCTGGTGTTTGTCCACAATATAACCATAACTATTGTCTCACAATCCGTCTCAATAGTCCAGATTCTGGTATTTCTTATCTTCCATCAAGTTTTGAATATAGTTTGATTTTAAGTACGTATTGTTTTACCCCTGCATCCACGTTTGTTTCTTGCAATTTTATTCGGTTAGACACTCCGAAACGAATTATTAACAGTGCAATTGTATTAATACTTTTTGACCTAACATAAATTCACACATCTAACTCCTATGGGTGCCTAAAATAAGTATCTGGATTTTAATTCTTAATTCACTTTTATACATCCAGTTCTTGGCTTCGTTCTACAATAATTCAACTGACCAATGGTCTGTTAAAGTTATATCGTATAAAAAGCTTGTGTTTTGAGCTCTCGTATGGTAAATGCTATTGTCTCAACATGTAGATCATTTCAGTTTATCAGTCTCTTTCTCACATTTTATAAACACTGCAAGGTCATCCTCCGTGGTTTGCAGTTGTACAACTCACCAGTTCCACAGTAAAGTTGGAAAAGTCCAAAAATGTTTAAAGTTACTTCTAACTTCACAAATAATTAGTGACCGGATATGATAATTTTGTATCAGATCAATTGATCAGTCTATCATTCTATTTATCATACTTATTTACCACTCTATAATGACTCCTGTAGAAGAGTAGAAGATACTCGTAGGTTACTAGTATTTGACCACAGATGCCTTCGAAATATTGCTCGCATCTGCTGGGATAACCGGGTAAGTAATAGTGAGGTTAGACGCAGGGTATTAGGGAATGATGGTAAATCAGTTGATGAGGTCATGAATCTTCATCAACCGAGATGGTTGGGCCACGCGTTACGTATGCCTGAACACCGATTACCACGACGCGCAATGATGAATACTATTGGGGATGGTTAGAAGAAAGTTAGGGGCGACCAAACCAAAACGTGGCATCAAAGCTTGAAGTCACTAACTTCTAGTCTGAGCCATGTTGGTAGATGCAGACTACCTGGTTGGGGTCTGCGTGACTATCGTAACCAATGGTTGGAGACTCTGGGTGACATGGCTCAGAATCGATCACAATGGCGTAGGTGTATACACTCTTTATCTTCCCTTAAACCTTGAGATTAAAATTGCTCCATAACTTTTTTTCCTTCCTATACTATATCCTCATGCACTACCTTTCTTTTATATATTACCACCATTAAATTAACTACTATGAAATCGGTGTTCATCTTGTTGTGCTAACGAGGTATGGCAACTTGGACCGATGCATATATGTTCCTGGTCCTACGTTGTCGCTGACTGACCCCTGTGACTGAATAAACTCATCTTAATTTCAATTGGTGGGTTGAAATACAGATTAACTCAGTATTTTTCGAAACTACTCATATATACATATATCCAATCATAAATGTTTTATGTAGTTCGCATTAGTGTTAACAAATTTCTCAGCCTGAATCTGATCGCTGAGTTTTATTATAAATTGGTGATTCATTATTTATTTTATTTATTTATTTAAACACATATATATTGGTACAAAAGGGCACCAGGTACATATGCGCCACACAAAATAATGAAAGTAGGTAGATAAAGGATGAAAAGATAAGGCGGGCTGAAATGTACAACCAGAAGATTCTTTCAGTTAGGAAAGTTAGAACCATTATTTATGTAGAAAGTAAAAGAAGGTTGCAGCAGGATCGCCACTGGCTTCTATTCTGAGCCATATCCGATAACGTCTCTAGCCACTGTGTTGCACTATCTCTCGGACCCCAACCAGGGAGTCGTGAAGGACCAACGGAAGCTAGCCCTTTGCAGCTCTCTTTCATGCCACGACACCATGTCATACACTGACCTCCTCTCCGCTTTCTCCAACCAGTCCCAGGGTCGGCAAATAATGCACGACGCGGAAGTCTCTGGGACGACATTCGTAAAACATGTCCGAGCCACCGAAGTCGGTGTTTCAAGATGGTGACACCAATTGAATTATCGTCTCTGCGCGCGAACACACGATGCCGAACCTCTGCATTACTAACATGGTGTTGCCACTGGATGTCAGCAATCCTTCGGAGACAACGATGATCGAACACAGAGAGACGTCTAACATCCTCAACTCGGAGAGGCCAGGTTTCACAAGCATAGAGCAAAACTGCTCTCACCGACGCGTTGTAGATCCGACCTTTTACAGCCAGACTAACATCACGAAGGCGCCAAAGATGGCCCAGATTGGCATAAGCCGCTCTGGCTTTCATTAAACGTGCATCAATCTCATCACTCACGCCACCACCAGCACTTATATAGCTACCTAGATACACGAACTTCTCAACTACTTCGATCTCCTCACCATCCAGGGTGAGTACAGGATGAGAATCCTGCCAGTCTTGTAGAAGTACTTTGCACTTGGAGGGTGCAAAGCACATGCCGTACCTGCGGACACTGATTGCCAACTGATTAAGTGCTGATTGCATGCCTTGGGCATTATCGCACAGTAAGACAATATCATCCGCATACTCAAGGTCGAGAAGTCGTTCTCCAGTCAACATATCCACACCGCCATTACTTACATCCATCAGAGCTGTTTCTAGGATGTCGTCGATGGCAAAGTTGAAGAGGAATGGGGAGATCGGGCAACCCTGCCTAACCCCACTGCTCGAATGGAACAAGGGAGAAAGGTGGTTGTATGCCCTCACTCTGCCTGAGGTGTTCGTATACAGGGCTTTTAAGATGTTAATGAACTTCTCAGGCACACCATTCTTCAATAGACAATCCCAGAGAACAGTCCTGTCCAACGAATCGAAGGCCGCCCTGATATCAAGAAACACTACGATTGTTGGCCTGCGATAAGTATGACGGTGTTCTAACATTTGGCGGAGGGTGAAGATGTGATCAATGCATCCTCGACCAGAACGAAAACCAGCCTGCTCCTCGCGAGTCAATCGTTCTCGGGTTTTAAACAACCTACGAAGAACGATAGAAGCCAATAGTTTGGACGCGATCGAAAGTAGACTTATCCCCCGATAGTTGCTACAGGAACAACGTGAACCCTTTTTAAAGATAGGGACGACTATTGACTCATTCCAAAATGTTGGGACACTTTCTTGCTCCCAAACCTTTCCAAACAACGCAGTCAGTTCCTTAGCCAGAAAGTCACCACCATCTTTAAAAAGAGCCGGAGGTAAGTCATCTGGGCCAGGTGATTTATAACGTTTCAAGAGTTGGAGTTCCTTGCGGACTTCCGCCTCGTTTGGTGGATCAGTCGTCACCGGCCATGGGGAGCAGGACAAGCTGGTTGATGTTGCCGGAGCAGCAGGCCAGTTGAACTGCCCTTCGAAAAATTCCGCCCATCGTCCAAGACGTCGACAGATGTTAGTGATTGGCATCCCGTCATCCTCGTAGATTGTTTCACTCACACCAGACTTCTTGCTGCCAGTGGCTCGGATGAGTTGGAAGAGCTTCCGGCAGTTACCAGATGCAGCTGCTGCTTCCATCTCATTAGCACGCTCCGACCACCAGGCTTCCCGGTCCTTACACAAGCTTTGCCCGATTTCATTACGTAACAGCCTTCGTTTGTGGTCAAACTCACGGTCACCCGGAGTAGACCGACGGGCTTCCATCAGTTGTAAGGAGCCAGAAGAAACCCAGTGGTTGTAAGCGGGACGTTTCGCGAAGCCGCAAGCGGCTTTACTCGCCATTTTCATGGCGTCATGAAGATGCAACCAATGCTTACCTATACTTTTCGGTGGGGTGGTAGCTAGCCTAGAGGCTAGCTCCGCTCGATACTTACTTGCAACAGAAGTTGCAGCCAGTTTACTAATATCAATCCGTTGGTGGTGGTCAATCCTTCGGCCACTGAAAAGTAAGGTGAGATTGGCGCAGACCAGGGCATGATCAGACTCCAGATAGGTACTCCAAAAGGAGCGGCAGTCTTGTACACAACCACGCCAGCGGTAGCTGATCGCGATGTGATCAATCTGAGTCCAGGTTTGGGATGCAGAGGGAGGACGCCAGGTGGCACACCGGCGATGACTGTGCCGGAAGTTAGTGCTGGCCAGAAACAGGTTGTGGTCTGTGCACAGTTGCAGCAAACGGTCCCCGTTATCTGTCCTGCGACCAACAAGTCCCCATCGGCCACCTAGACGACTCTCTTCTGTGCCTAGACGCCCGACCTGTGCATTCAAGTCTCCGGCTAGTACTACAATATCTGTCGAACGCGCTTTCTGGAGAAGAACTGTTAACTGATGGTAAAACTCATCCTTGATTGCATCCGGGCTGCAATCTGTCGGGGCATAGGCGGAGATGACGAAAAGACACCGTTTCTCACGCCGATTTCTTCTCACTTTGATGGAACTTTCTAATCTAACAGCACATAACCGACTGTTAATGGGGATCCAATCGATTAGTGCTGCCTCAGCTCTAGCGCTTAGTGCGACACCAACGCCAGCAAGACCAGACGAAGATGCCACAGGGTCCCCGGATAAGCGCACGTGGAACAAGCTTTTCGAGGCGACAGATGGAGAGCGGATTTGTAGTACTTCACTAGAGTCTTGAATACGGGTCTCGGATAGACAACAAACGTCAACATTAAGACCTTCCAAAGACATAGCCAGCCCTATCTGTTGTCTGATCTGCATTAG